CCAGCTAGTGTTGGACAGCCTACACGTCATGCACACATTCATTCACATCCTGTGTCGCTCTCTTCCTCTCCCACACTCATGCATCATTTTTCTAATTTCACCCTCCACCCCCTCTTCCCTCTCAGTGTACTGCTGCTGTTGCCTGGCAAACATCTCCATCCCCGGGATCGGCGTGGCTGTGCCCGAGTTCAGGCCCTTCTTCTATGTTAATGTGGCCGATATCAGCGCCCTGGAGAACGAACTCTCCTACGTAGCATGTAAGTGGCAGCTCGAAACATGTTAACATTTGTAAAAAAAAAAAATAGTCGGGTCTAATATGCAACTTTTGCAGGTATGATCAGCATCTCCCGTATGTCAATTCTTGTTTGTATTCTTAGGTACTACTGAGAAGATCTTTGAGGAGAAGAAGGATCTGTATGATGTGTATGTAGACAATCAGAATGTAAAGACCTGCAGAGACGGCCTGAAGCCTCTGCTCCGCCTCAGCACCGCAGATAGGGATAAATATCGCAAACTCACTGAACAGAGGTAAGTTACACTGTAAAGAACACTGCTTACGCTTAACAGTAATTTCCACTGGGATTTAAAGGTTGAGGCTGGTGTTGTTTTAGATTTTTCTTATTGTCAACAAATCCTCTAAAGATACCAAAACTACCAAAGAACTGAATCTACTAAAATGTATTTCCTAGGTAACCAAAGTGTATATATATATATATATATATATATATATATATATCTTATCCTCAGTGCCATAGAGCTCCATTGTTGCCCAAAAATGATTAAAAAACCATCAATGAGCCACACTGTCACACGTACTGACATGTTCCTTCATTATTATGAACATGGGCACTGTAGTTTTTTTTAATTCAGTCAGACATACAGCGTGCTGCTTAGGGCTGACTGCCTCAGACAGGGTAAGAAAGGTGGAAAGTACTAAAAGATGGGATAGCATATAGTTTGTTTTTGGTTTTGGTTTCATTGGACCCTTTAAAAATATACAGTAGCACCAAAAATATAGAATAAGCCAGTCTTATCGGTAACAAAATTGGACAAATGCAGTCTCCTACATTGCAATGTTTCTTTCTAAAGGGTATGATTGAGTAAAATTGATTTCCATGAATATTGAATGGATTACCATGGCATATTATGTAGACATTTAAAGCCCCTAAAGGATGAATTGCAATAGGAATGATGAACCCTACAGTGTTGATCTGGTCAAAATTGTGTCCACTACTTCAGTTTATGTACCTGCAAAACTAATGACATTCCCATCAGCCTCAGCTGCACACTGTGTTTAGTGCTAATTAGCAGAAATTAACATGCAAATTTGCATTGCAAATACACTTAAACTAGCTTTGATGGTGACCAATAGTAACCATTATACCTGCCACCGTTAGTATGTTAACATTGTATTAGCATTTTGTCACACTAACATTAACAGCTGGAAGCACGAGTAAAGCCTAACAAAGCTGCTAGCATAAACCTAACTCTTCTATATGAAAATACATGATTATTCATAAATAAGTACACATTACATATCAAATAGTGCAGGTTTTTTAAAGGAAGAGTCAATTTAAAGTGTGTCTCTGTGTGTGCAGGCAGATGTTGCTGTACTCCCAGGAGGAGAATGGAGACTGTGTGTCCAGCGAAGAGGATCTCTTTATTCTGTAAGTGTATGATTCATTCAACCAGCCGGTGGAGTGGTAACTACTGATTAACCACTGTATGCAGAGCTGACCCAACTTGATCTTTTTATGAGGATCCTGGGAAGAAACGTAAAATTTTATCAAAGAGGTAATGAGCCTGACAGAATCCCCTGACCTTTCTCCTCCTCTCACACTCGCTGTACTTATTAAATCTCACAAAGTGCAGATTTGTGCTATTTTTTTTAATGCTTTTCCCATGTTATCACTGCTACTGTTTAGCTTAGAGACATGGAATGAAAACCAGAGAAATGTGGGAGGAAAGCATAAAGGACAATGGGGAACAGAACAAGGGGTGGGGGAACTTTGTAGATAATTTTTTTAATGATTAGAAAATACATTTATTCAAATATATTTCAGTTGTGAAGCTACCATCTTCCTACCTTCTTATCCAGGTTTTTCCTGGAGCAGAACAACAGGATTTTCCAGACCCTCAGTGAGGTGGCAGCAAGCCCAGATCCTACGCTGACCCAGGAGAGTGTGAGGGCCATGGGTCTGGATCCCCATGGAGACAGGCTCTTCCTGCTCCACCTGCTGGAGATCTACGGCTATGACACCCTGCTAGTGTCAGAGCAGCTGTGCTGCAGTTGAGAGACAACAGACGGGCTAGCTTTCCGCCTTTCATCACTGCTTGTTTTAAAAGGGGGTTGAGCTTTGAGTGCTGCACTACTGGCTTCTATGAGTCTTCAGGACGGTTTGAGCCACCAGAAATTTCTCTGGTATAACTTTTATTTTTGTTGTACATCTCCCCGTGCTTCTTTTGTTCACCGTTTCTGCTCCCTCACAACCTGATGGCAAGACCAACAATTACAGTCATGTAATTCGGTCAGTTCTACTTGATACAGCCTCTCGGAGATAAACTCACCCTTAAGATGGATTACTCACCCACGGCTGATTCTCTGGATTGGATATAGCAGCAGTATTTCAACACCGAGCCGTGTGTGTATTCAGTGGATGGCAGGTCCAAACGCAAGGTGAAGATAGCATCAAATTAATACTAAAGTGGCCTGAACTGTACTTGGACATCAAGTTGAATGACAGAGCAAGACAATTCTGAAATGAAGCCAGCAATTTAGGAGATTTTCAGTGAACAAAACGTGTACTGAGGATTAATGTATGTAAGTGTAATAGAGAGGCAGCCTTCCTGTAAATAGTATTGCTCTTTTCCTTTTATGTACAGTGTGTCAGCATATGTGTGATATGGGGTCCGCCTCTCTGCCAGTGTTGCTATCCTTGTATCAAGTGCTGGATTTTAAACATCTAATTTTTAAGCCTCTATGTCCAAATCAGGGCCTCCTTCCTTGAAATCTAACTTATGTCACTACAAGCAGGTCAAACCACCTTTGTCTTCAAGAGCCATGTCTGTAAGCACTGCTGTTTAAGTGGCACTTAAAGCCACAAATGAGCAGTTAATGTCAAGACTAATTATTTTTGGCCTGAGCTGAGACCAAATCAGATTTTCTAATGATGTCCAACAGGCAAGGGTGATGTCCACGAGGACATAGAGGCTATCTGAAAAGGCTTATTTGCACCCTGGCTGTCAGCTGGGCCTGCGGTTCAGAAGAATAAGCTGTTGCACAATGAGCACCGTTTAGTCTTTACTGCTGTTCTTAAATGTCCAGTTGTGTTTGCAGCTCTAGTGTCAAGTCAAAGACGGGCCTTTAGGGGGAGAGTTCACAACTTCAGATGATTCTCTCAATATAGAGACACTGAGTTGATCTTTTTTTAACAGCTACCATCTCTAGAATAGATCATAGAGAATCGGTTAAGACACAATTCTGTAACTTTTAGGCTCTGTACATTTTGAAGCGTACCATAGCAACATATACTTTCAGCTCCGTCAACAGCAAAAACAGAGAACTCGCACTTGTTGGTATGTTATGTTGCATATTGCTGTTGATGCAGGAGGTAGTGCGTAGGTGACATGAAAGAAACATTAGACCCTGAGGTTCGTTGTTATTGGGAAATTAAGCGAGAACCTTAAAGCTGCATTAATCAAATTTTGGCCACTAGAGGGCATAAGAACTGACTACTACATCACTAGCTTAAGTTTTCAAAGGCCAACATGTTAACAATAATGGCCTAAATTGGATATAGCTGCTAGCTGTTCAACGTTCTTCGCTAGTTAGCTGCTAACTTTGTATGTCTCCTGTTTAGTGCTGGATTAGTAGCGTATAGTCAGTCTATCAAAACATTTTGCCAAAAGCAACAGTCTGTTGATGCTGTAAATATGGTCGAGTGGTTTGACTGAACCATGCAGTTAAAATGGACCGTACAACCAGAACTAGCTAAGAGGCTAAAAAAAAAAAACTCAGAGCTACAGAAATTTAGCAAGAATTCTCTGCAAGTTTGTCAATAACAGCGACCTTGTTGTAATTTGACTCTGTTAATATAAAAATACTAATTAATGTAGCTTTAAGCAACTATTCCCTTTTATGGGACATTTTCAATTTCACCCTGCATACCTCCATAGATCACATATAGTCTAGCTATTCATGTGGAACACCAATGTCAGTGTTTTGAGGAATTTCCTTTAGAGGATCCAGAACTACATAATTGCTATATGAAAATACATGCACTAAAGAAGAAAAATTAGATTGAAATAACAATTTAAACCTACTACAAGGAGCTTTTAACTGGTTATGAAACTCTCACGTTTCTGATGCCTCTTTATGACCTATATAAAACAAGACCATCAGTGAAAAGATTGGCTATTTCTATATTTTGTTATTCTTAATGCCTGCCACTGGGTCAAATTCAGTCCAATTTCCCTTGAAATCAGACGAAACACGGCGCTACCGCTTTTGTCCACAGGGGCTGCCAGAATCAACACTAAACAAAAGTTCCTTGTAGCTGCTTTAAAGTCATTTTTATTTGATGTTTCTTTCTGTTTGAGACATGCTGCACACCAAGCTAACCTGGTGCTTTGGTTACTCTATGGGCTTTGTACTACAACAAACTAAAGGTTATTATTCTGTCAATTTCTGTTTAACACTGATTGCTTTTGTCCTTTTTTTAAAAATGTATTTCGTTTAAGAGTTTGTTTAGCTGTAAATCGTTTTTAAGTGTAGATATTCAATTACTGTAACATTATCTGTGAAGAAATGGGATCAGTTGAATGTGTTTTATAAAGGCAATTAAGATCCCACTGAGCCTCTGTGAAACCCTCATGCAATTATGTGTTCAATTGTTCGCTGTAAGAAAACATAGCATATTTTCACACCACATCGCATGGCACCTTAGACAACCTGTACAGAGCTGAAGCAACCATGTTTGTAGTTGAAGAGATAGTCCAAATCATGTTAAAACACCTTCACTTTATTTATTTTACTGTAAATCATTTCAGAAATAAAGTGCATTGCCACTTATAAGGAAAACACATTTCTCAGTCTGAATATTATTTATCAACAATCTTTACATTCCTGAATTTCATTTCTACATTTCATTCATTTTATCAAAATGTGCAGTTCAAAGCTACCGTCTTATAATTGTTGCTGTATGTTCGTGTACATGCTTGTATTTCTTCCTTTCCATCGTGGCTAATCTCAAACATTCAGGAGTAGTTTTCTATGTTGCCATTGATGATAAATTCCTCACCACTAGAGACTCTTCCTTCATTCACGTCACCATTAATTCCACATCTGGAGCCATTTGTGGTGATGTCATAGCCACTGAGTGGCATCCTGCCTGTCACAGCAACTTTGAGAACAGTCAGCCAGCTCTGTTTGAGGTCCAAGCTATCGCAGGAGAATGTGTGGGTTGCTCTGGATTGGCTTAAACAGAAACAAGGCTGACCCTGGAGCTGTTGAGGGGAATCCTCCACTCTGCAGCCTAGCAGAGGTATACAGGACAGGGGCTTTACATCCTGGAGATATGGGGGTGAATGAAAAGGGATAGAAAAGCATGTGATGGATGTGAAGCTTGAAGCTGTGCATGGCGAGATTTTGTATGGATCAACAACCTTCTTTTGTCATCAGCAGGGCTGCAACAGAAAAGTGTGTTCTCTCCTTTCTAATAGAGGATATGCAGCAATGTTACTTATTTCACAGGCCACCACTCATTGCCAAAAAAAAACAGTCAGTGGTATGTTGACATTAAAAACTGTTTGTTTTTGGAGAATAAGGATATTAAGGTTTTCTGTGGATACATAATTAGTTTTATTTGGTTTCATTCATAATAGAAGCAGGTAATACTCTGTAGCCTCCGGCTTTCAAACTTTCAAAATATGTTTGTGCAGTTGATTGCACAACAGCTCTTCACAATTTTAGCAGCGTTTCCCTTTTTTCCCCCAATGCGAGTGCATGATTAAAGATGCTGACTATTAATGTTGTGACTGCGGTGACATATGACAACATCACATGCATACCCTCTAGAAACAGTGAAATACAAAACACTAATGAGTACATGGCATCATTACTCAAAAAAATTAAATCTAATAGTCTCTTTCATAATAAACAATGATACATAATAATACAGTAATATTGTGGAGATGCCTACCTGTGGAGCAGTGTACAGACAGAGGGTCGGAGGTTCAGTTCTGGTGATAACCGACCACACCTGTTGCCAGGTCTTGGGGTTGTCACCGTACAGCAGGAAGCCACTCATCAAGCCGTCACTGGACACTGGAGATGCCTCCAGCTGACACACAGAAGAAAACACAATGCTGTTAAAGACTTCCATTCGTCATATTGTATTTTGTGCTCCTAAAAAGTAAAAAAAAAAAAAAAGACTTCCATTTTCTCTGCAGAAGATACCACACTAGAATTCTTAATGTCACTTTTAAAAATGTGGGTTTAGTTGGTTTTATTCACCACTGCCAGCTGTGTAAAATGGGAAAATGTATACATGTTCAAGAACCAATAACAGAAATGACTTAAGGGTATAACTGTCTTTGATTTGAAAGGTAACCCTTGTCATAACCATAATACAAGGCTCACCTCCACTATTCGTCTCTTCTTTCCCTCCACCCTCTCCCCTCTCTGACCGGTCAGGATGGAGTAGCAGGCTTTACACACTTTGTTCAGCTTGTTATTGTCATACTCTAAAGCCACTTTATTGTCTGAACACTTCCAGCACACCACCTGGGGAGCAGAGAAACCACCATTGCTATATTGTCAAAAAGAGGTTTGGTCTGCAGTGTGTTTAGCACAAAGCTATCGCATCTCGTCACTCACGCAGCCACAGGCTCTGCAGTGGTGTCTTCTCCTGGTGAGCGCGTTGAAGGGTTCCTGGCATTTCATACACATGGTCACCTCGTTGTCCCTGATCCAGCGAGGGGCACGTCGGCCAAGTTCTTCAATCTAGAAAACACAAAGGTCGCAGATGTAGAAGTCCTTTTGTTTTGTTTTTCAGAATAGATTATAAATGTATACAACCCGCTTCTGATATCATCAAACTTACCGGTTCTTCTACATTTAGCTCCTTAGAAGCCAACTTGAAGGTTTCATTTTTCTTCTGAAACACATCAATGGCTTCCTGAATTAACTGGAGAAAAAAAAATAAAAAAAGACCATGAGTCTTTTCCTAATCCATTTAATATTTAATGTGTTGCTCCAAACGCTACTGTAAATAAATACCCCTTTACCTTTATCCACTCATCTCTATCTTGTTCAGAGCTTGAAAAAAAAAGAAACAATGAAAATTACAATTTAATTTACAAAACATTTAATGCACTTCTGCAAATGTACTGATGTTTAATAACACATAATTATGTTCACATACTACAAATATGTTGAGTAATTTGAAATCAAATCAAATACATCTACTTTCCAACTAGAACAGCTTCTACCAAAGCTGCACAATCCTCTCAATTTGTTATATAAACCTACTTCAAGGAGTTCTGAACTGGTTATGAAACAGTCTAAATTTAATACTGATGCCTCTGTATGATCTACATAAGCAAACAAGACCATGAGCATTGGCTCTTTCTATGTAATTATTTTTAATGCCTGCCACTGAATCAGATTTGACTGAATTCCCTTTGAATATCAATCGAACAAGGCTGTGGAAACATTACCGCTTTCGTCCACAGCTGCCAGAATCAACAAAAAATGTAACTTCCTTGTTGTTGCTTTAACATATTTATCTATTTTATTTTAGACAGACAACTTTACAAGGTGACAAAATGAGATGTCAGATGCCAACCATAAAAAAAAAACGCAGGCAAACACTGAGCTCAACTTGTTTGAGACACCCCACTTTTACAACTCACACACACCTGGCCTGCAGTTCAAGGGTCCTCTCCTTTCCAGAGACCTGGAAGGTGTATGGATGGCCTTCATTGGTGGTCTGCTGCACATGCATGCCATCCACTCCGATTCTGCAGCGGACAGTAAAACGCTGCCCAACAAGGCTGAACTTAGGAGTGCAGCACAGCAGAAAGTTGTTGAACTGTGGAGAAAAGTTATATGACCTAATTTACAATTAGACTCTTAGCTAGAGTGAATTAGAAAAGTTGCAGTTCAAAAGAACTACAGCTTACTCCATGTTAATAAAGATACAACAAACTCATATTAGAGGGGTAGATATGCACGTACAAAATTGTCTCAAACAAAAAGATCTAATGAGTCTGCATCTGTTTGCGTATATATATCAGTGTTCTAACCAAGAATAGATGCCTCTCCATGGCGGATGTGTTCCTGGCAGCAAGCTTGAGCAGGCGTCCCTCCTTGAGGAACTCGTTGGTTGGGTTGACCACTTCCTCCTCTCCAACCATCTCATAGATCTCCAGCAGCCGCTTCAGGCTCTCCTACAGGGAGAGAAATGGAAACCCTGAAACAGATGTGTATGGGCGCAATCATAGCTGTATATGGCAATTTTTGTCTCCACAATATATACAAAATATTTTTTAAAAAGACATTAACAATACTGGCTTTTTATTTAATTGATGTCAAAAAATGTGGCAAAAGGTAAATAATGTGGTAGGTAATGGTAACATACGGCTTTGTGGATGGCGCTGTTTGAGTGGGTGGCTGCCATGGAAATGGTCTGGAAGGACTCTGCGGGAGAGAAGAAAGGAAGAGGTTCATTCTACTTATTAAAGATGTAATGATCTCTCAGGGAAAGAGAGCAACAATAAAAATCTAACACATGCACAAACACACTCCATAAGCCAGCACATGATGAAGAGGTCAATAGTGTGCGATAACAACAGCACACATACTGTGAGCCGGCTGATAATCTGGGTTGTCCTCGGGCAGTTTCTTCAGGTAATCCCTGAGCAGCATCTCGTAACGTGGAACCCTCTGGACTGGCTCCAGCATGTGGTGCTGTAGGGTCAGGCTGCCACACACCTCCTGACTCTAAAAACAAGGACAACACACACAGAACATCCTGCTCACACCTCCATACTTTGAATAAGTGCTGATATGTATCTTGGTGAGTATGTTGAAGGTTTGAGAGGGTTACTTTAAATATGTAATTTGATTAAATTACTAATTACCTGTTCATGTTAGTATATTGTTCTTTACTTTATGGGGATTGTTAGCAGGATAACAATTTTACTCAATGTAACTATATTCTGATTATGCCTTTCTGATTCTTTTTCTGTAACTTTAATGGATTACTATAATTGATCCTGATTACTCTGTTACATGCAATCTGTTATTCCCCAAGCCTGAGTATGTCTCACCTGTACATCTTGGATGATGTTTCTGAAGGCAGAGGAGCGTTCGGTCCAGGTCCTCACTAGCTCCATTGCCTGGTCAAAGTTCCTGATGTAGTCGGCGTACATCCTCAGGAACGGCGCATGTTGCAGCAGGACATTACCCAGGCCCGGGCTCTCGAGCCTAGATTTGGTGGAAGTGGGGAGGTCAAGGGTGTAAGGGTCTAGGCTTATAGTACAGGCTGTCTGTAAGTATTTGGACAGTGACACCCACCAGTGGCTGATGCAGTTTTCCAGGTCAGGTAGCAGAAACTGGCTATGGAAGGAGTAGATAGAGGATATGTTGGAGAAGATATTTTTTATGACCTCAGGAGGGAATGAGCCTCGACCGGCCTCTTCTGTTAGGCGTGAGCAGAACACCTGTGGTGGGAGTTAGAGAGGGGCAACATAAGGGGATTAATTTGGACAGTTATTGATCTTCTACATAATACATGTTGTATCCCTCAAGACCAAAAGTATCTAACACTGCAGTAGCACATACACTTGAATAGAAGAAGTCTGTTGAGAATGTGGCAATAAAGGACATCCATGCCATCCATGACCTGAAGAGGCATATAGCTGTATCTTTTAGCACTAATTGCATTGTTTTCATAGAAGGAGCCCCAAATAGAATACCTTGTCAAGCAGGTGTAGACGAGCCACGTAAGCCCTCTCTGTCTGCAGGAGTTCATTGGCTATCTTGTACAATTTCTGCTCCGGCTTCTCTTCATCCTTTGGCTCGCCTCCTCCTCTCTCCTTCCTCTTCTCGTCATCATTCTGTTCACCTTTAGACTCCTTATGAATCCTGCCATCTTCTGCTGTTGCTTCATTCCACTGGCAAGAAAACTTAGAGCCATATCCTATTGGTAACTTGCCATGTTCCATTTTGTCATTTCTTCCCTTCTCGTTTACTTTCCCCTGCACTTTGCCATTCATTAGTCCAGGGGAATGCTCTTTGCCATTGCTTGACAGATGGGCTTCATTAGCGGAGTGATTGAGTCTGTGGTTAACTGGTGCTTTGATGGTGATGGCTGGCCCGTTGCAGTTGGGTGATTGCAGCAGTTTCAGTGGAGAGCGTTCACCTTTTTCAGTGTGAATCCTGCAGAAATAAAGTTCACCATCATTAAAAATTAAACTAATATTCAGAAATGATTGGATTCTATATTATTGCTATACAGGCTCTGGGAAGGTATTCTGCGGATCAAGGTGTAGAAATTAAAAATCCAACCTGCTCTCATCCAAGTAAACAATCAAGTCAGGTACACTCAGAGATTTCCCCCTTTTCTTCTCTTGTCCTTCCGACTTGCCGGCTGGGATTCTGTGCAGTCCTAGCCAGGATTTAGAGTACTTGGCGGGGCTGTAGCTCCCCATTCTCCGCTGCACAGGACTGGGGGTGCGTAGTATTCCTGCGAGAGGGCTTCTGTTCCTTGGGGACAGCTTAGCAGGGCTGTGCCCACCTTCCCTCAGTGAGCTGCAGCTCTGAATGCCTCTTTTGCCTGGACTTGGAGACCCGAAAACTGGACTGCTCGTGAGATTTGGAATCCCTTGAGTGTGTCTGGCAGGGCTGATATGTGCTCCAAATAATCCATTCAAAAAACTGTTCCCTCCTCCTCTGACAGGACTAGGGGAGCCTAGACACTTCTGTGCTGGGCTGACACAGGAAATAGAAACTACACAACCTCTATTAGGACTCTGATCTTGTTCTGTGCCATTAACGCATTGAGGTATTAATTTTCCTGTGGTGGGACTGTGGGCTTGAGCTTGTCCTGTACTCAGAGGACTCAGGAGGTGAGCTGGTTTAGGAGGCACTGCAGAGAGATAGAAATAATGATAATACTAAAATGTCTTGCAGGTAGAATATGTCTGCTTTCTCTTTAATATAATAGAACTAGACGGCACTGGGCTTATGGTGCCAAAAAATACCTGGTTACTCCAAATAATCCACACACCCTGTTGTGAACAGTTTCACGTAGGAACTATTTTCTTTCTACCGACCTACACCCACCAATCGTATCATCACAGAGAAGGAAGTGCGCATTTTTGAGCTAACCAACGTTACAGCTCGGCATGAGAGGACAGTGTTAATATTTACATCCTGCGCTACTGGATGTCAGCCTACCTTGTGGTTTGAAAGGTGATCCTATAGCGGGGCTTCTTTTAATGTCTTCCTCTGCTCCAGGTTTAGAGTTTGGTTCCGATCCACAGACGCTGTCACAAGCACGCCCACAGCTGTACGAGCCTCGCACTCCACTGCTCACTACAAAAAGTAGTACAGTTACTATTTTGAACCATATATACATGTTTCCACACACACACACACACACACACACACACACACACACACACACAGTCATAATACTATATTATATAACCGTTTCCACGTTTGTGATCTTGACTACTATTAAAATAAAATGTACTGGTTTTGACCTTTGAACTATGCTTAGCTGCAGACCATGCATTTGTTAGAATGCCAATTGATGCGTGTGTTTTGAGAACCTATTTTGCTGAGTCCTGGGAAACTGTATACAACATTTCTTAAACTTTGAGCCATTTTGAGGGGATGACTCAGAGGTTCCTGCTGAGGCCACTAACAAATACAATACAGTGTTTCTTCGGCACTTATAGTAACATTGTCCTGTGTCTTTTACTTCTATAAGCGCTGCAGGTTTTTACAGTACAGTATTATGCCTAGTCTCTTGCTGTGCTCTTTCTTCTGCGTATGTGGTCAATGGGATAGAAGAACCAGTGTGTAAGATTAGAGGCATCTTGCAGTGAGATTGCAGATTGCAACCAACTCGCTTCAACCTCACCTTCAAGCATGTAGGAGAAACTTCATTGGCTGTGAAAAGCCCTATCTAGACCCAGTGTTTGGTTTGCCCGTTCTGGGCTGCCTGGCAGTTCAACATGGCGGACACCCTAAAAGAGGACCCTCTCTCTGATCTCCCACTCTGTAGATAAAAACTTTCTAAAAAGGTAACAAAAAACACAATTCTTGTGATTATAGACTAATGAAAATATTTAAGAATATTATATTCCATTTCTGCCAATAGATTGACTGTAAGAGTTAGTCAGAAATTGCATGTTAAACACATCATAGTATTCACTGCTGTTTCACTGCTCTTTGGAAACCTATGCACTGACATCCTTATACTTCAACACAACTTACTACATTCAAACTGTGTAACGGTGTGTTTGCTTACCTGCAGTTCTTTTCCAAACTTATGGACAGATTATCCATTACTTGTGTAACAAAGTGAAGCTTTCCTGTTCATTCCTGACTCCGCTCAAGTGTTAACAGATTTGCTGGTCATGTGTAGATGGCTAAAGCCTACTTTCTCAACAATGTAATACTTCTGCTTTCTCACTTCTCTCTTCTTTCCATCGTGTCTAACCTTTGCCAGTGACGTTCAGTTAAGTCAGCGTCTGAGAGGCAACGTTCAATGCTTGACAACACAAACAGAGCATCACTACCACAGAGTTCTGTAGTTTTAAGACAGCAACAATCTCTAGGTGGAGCACAAAAGCTTGAGAGAAAGATGCATGTTGAAGGCTATAAAGGCGACAGTTATTCAAAAGTATCATTCTTATAGAAATAGTTCAGCAACACGCTTATTGATATTTCTCTGCTGGTCAGAAGTAACAGCTTCCAGCCAAGAATTAGTCCTGCACATCACACCCCATAAAACTACAACATGTTTTTTAATAGGGATGTCCTGATCCAGAGACGGGGTCTGTTACAATAATTTTGCGTACTTCAATTTTGATTATCCGACACATTAAACAGCCGTAGCTACAAAATCTGACCGACTTGATTCAAATATGAGGTCCTGGTTCAAAAATTCATTTATAAGCTTCACTTATTCATATGATGAATGATAGGTTAACTGGGAAAATGTGATGTATCACTCTGATGTAACCAAAGAAAAACAATAAAACCATTCAGACGTCTCTAGTTTTTACACTTTGGGTTTAAAAAGAACATTTTATTAAGTGAGATTTAGAGCAGCTGGTAGGCAAATCTTTCTAGCAAATTTCTAGCTCTCTGGAAAAAAGGGTGAATACATCTCTTTAAACTTAAACATAAAACAATCCCTTTAATGTTTCAACTATTTTTGAACTGACTCCAAAAAGGCACTACCATGTGTATCAATTTCTAGCCTCTCAGTTGAGATTTTAGCAGTTTTAACAGCAAAAAAGTAAATGATGTATTCATCTTAAAAATGAATAACTATTTAAAAGCTATATTTTGCACGTGTGGTTGTTTCAACAAGCCTGACATCAAGCCAAGGAATCATTTGCATTATATAAAGGGATGGATGGCACTGTAGAATCCTGCATCTGACAGTACCATAGGCGCAAACGTTCTTCTCTATTTTAAACAGATAGTACGACCTTAATGGGGGAACAGAGTGGCTTTGTGTGTGTCTGTGTGTGTGTGTTTGTGTGTGTGTGAGGGATTGACAAATGCTGGTCTCAAGACACACAGGCAAAGTCCAGGCTGAATCAGGGGAAAGAGATTTCAGTGCAGTAATCCAACAATCTAAGAGGCCGCCAGCCAACTATGCCTAACAAATTGTGTACACACACACACACACACACACATACACACATAGTGCTGCCCTGGTCACCCTCTTCCTGGGTGTTTCCACTGTTGATTTTCCTGACATATTGAAAAATAATCAGATTATGTTTGAACAGTGTAACAGTAATTCACACCCATTCGTATGAACCACTAGCCTTATGGTGACTGGACACATTTAAAGCATTTTAGGCTACAATTGGGGTTCTGCATTTGCTATATAATCTACACTGAATGAAGAAAACATTGGAGCCAATAGGACTACTATCTTTCTGTAGATTTATTTACTTTGGAATTAATACATTATGGCCTTATTGGTTCATACCTTAATATATACCGACCCATATGGAGACACAGGCAACAGAGATAAACTGAACATGTATAATAAATGTGGACTAAAGCGTTGGTGTTAAATGAAAGGTAGCTCACCTGTCTGTGCGCTGTGGCAGTCCACCGCAGCACCTTTGACCTTCCGTCTGACCGCCACTCGTCTGAACTCCTCCGTGTCGCGGCTGTTCAGAGTCAAACTGTTCCTCTTCTTCAAGTCAAACATTGTTACAGAGTAGCCTCAGTTCCAGCCTCAGTTCCAGCCTCAGTTCCAGCCTCAGTCCGCTGTTTCTCCCAGAGACAGTAAACGGTACCGGGAGGAGAGGAGGACAGCGACGTGCCGGTGGCCCCTCTGATGTTCATTAGCCCACGCGCTCAATCACAGCCACTAATATCTATCCGGTTGTTTGACAAGCCCCGCCTCTCATTTCAATCTCATTCAACCCACAAGCGCCCCAACGAGCCCGCACTGACCAATCAACGGGCACACAACCACTGTGGAAAAATGAAAGTCAGTGAGACTTTGACAAGATGTGTGCAGTTCACATGTTTATCACCTAAAGCCCGAATATCTCCCCATGAGCATCTGTATTACAGCGGCAGTTATGTCCATGTTTACATTATTTTATGTTTAGACTTTTCGTGTCATTTTTACTTTGGTCGAGCGTGTAAAAATGTCTGTTTTAATGTTTGAAAAAGTAACAAGGTAGCCCAGAGGTGTAGAGAACGAAAAACGACTTACGGCTACAAATTCTGAAATTAATAAATAATGTAATGATTAATACAATTATTTAATTACCATTACTTCCTTTGGATTTTATTCTAATCTAATTAAAATATTTGTATTAAAAACATCAAAATTAACCACCGTACACTGGAATGAACTTAAATATTTGTAGCCTTTACATGTGTGTGTGTGTGTGTGTGTGTGTGTGTGTGTGTCTATGTGTGTAGCATAAAAAGACTTACAACTTACTGTGTTGTAAAATTACAAGAGAGAAACCTTTATACCTTGAAATAAATAAATATTGGTCGTTAAACGCAAAGTTAATACATAAATGTTTTTAAATAATTTATAATCAAAACTCCACATTTCAGTATTTCTACATAAGGCAACTGGACTGGACCCGATAGTAATAGCCTAAAGCTGAGACGATTGTCAGTCAACAGAAAATTAATCAGCAACTACTTTTACAATTAGATTTTCTGTTTTTTTATATTTGCAAACTGAATAACTTTATAGGATAAAGCTGGACATTTGAAGACGTTACCATGCGCTCTGGGGAAATGTGATGGGCGCTTTTTGTTATTTTCCAACATTTTATGAACCAAACCACTAATGGATTCAGATATTTGGGAAAATAATGTGCAGATGAATTGACAATAAAAATAATTCAGCCCTATAATAATAACAACAACAGTAAGTACTTATTATTTAAATAAGGGTGTAAAATACCTTATACAAAAAGCAATAATTTACAAAAGAGTGAAAATAATGGAACTATAACTGAACAGCGATTATTTTAAATATTATGTGCAGATTATTTCTTCGATTAGTTAATTAATAATTTGCTCTATTTGCACAAAGAATGGTGAAAAATTGTCCATCACAAATCCTCAGATCCCAACGGCTCAAAATGAATGGATTCAGTTTACATGTAAGAACAAGGTGTATGTTGTTTTAACAACGGGAAAGGCCTACTTTAAATATAAATTGGCAACTGCTCGAATTAAATAAAAACTATTAACGTGTCACTGAGGTCATGATGATGGGGACTGACGTGTTGAGTAAATTCTACCTTCATTCTGCACCTGAGCGCTGACAGACGGACAGCAGCTGAACTCTTGTAAAAGTGAAACTCTTCCAGTGCGGAACTGTTGGACAGTGAAATGGCCTCCACTAGGTTACGCCGTGAGAAATACGTGCTGACTGTAGGCATCGTCAGAGTGCTGGATGAACGCTATGGTAAAATATAGTTCATCACATATTAGCTTCATTTCTCTATAGAGGCTGATTATTAAATGAAGCCTAAATATATATTATCTTGTGCCTTATGTAATAATACAGGTTAAATATTATATATTATATTATAAATATGAGTTATTCCATTGTGTTTGGGTGAACTTATTTCCCCAGGCCACCTCACACCTGAGTTTCACCTGTTATTTCACAGTAAAATGATTGCAGATGATAACATTTTATAAATGTGCACATGTCAGGTGGAAAGTGTCTGAATATTAGTGTAGTGATTGAGAAACGCATCCATTTTGAGGGGGGGCACAGGTGTCTTAGAGATAACAGTAAATTATAGGACAAAGATGGCGACTGGGTCATTTTTTATAAAATGCTAAGTTGTCTATATTGCACGCGCCATGGAAACGACGTAAGATAATGGAACTAGTGTGGGATTGACGTCTGACGTCAGTATGGTCAACCTAGAATATATAGAATCTATTATTTTATTTTAAATGATAGTTTTACTAATCTATATATATATATAAGGGAGAGTGGGGTAAGTTGAGCCAAAGGGTAAGTTAGTTGTACGAGACCACTTTTTTTGGACATGCTATATTATCGAAACAGTTATGTTTACACTCATTCTGTTTGTTTGAAGGGATGCACAACATCCTGAAATATATGCAGATAATTTATTAGTTAGCGACAAAACTATGATTGCCTTGATGTAGTGATCCTAAATATGAAAAATGGCTCATCTTACCCCACTCTCCCCTATATGGAGCTCATCACTTGCTCTGGCAATGTAAACGCCTGTTTCCCTATGCCAGTAAAGCATGAATTGAACTGAATTTGACTAATTGCCTTGTTGGTCAATAAAGCCCCTCATACTGTCATGTTGTTCCATAAGTCAGAGATAAATATTGTAATTTGAAATAATGTATCACACGTTGTTCACTCTGAAGTCTCTACAGAAGTCAACATATATTTAGAAATATACATTTTGTTTCAAGCTACCCATAGGTTTTTAATTCAAATGCAGCTAATGAATAATTTCTGAAACTATTTGTAACATTTTTCCGATGCAAATATCAATGTCATATCTCATGGCTAATGTGACTCTTTTTCTCTCCATTTAGTCGACCTGCCGAGGCCGGGACGTGTCCTTCAGATGGTTCTTACAAACTTGAGGAACCGTCCTCTGAAAAAGAGCAATATGGACTCCATGAGCAAGTACATCATCAGCCTGTATCACAGCCTCATCACAGGTTCAAAGAAGTTCCCTTTGGTTCACTACAAAGGACTCTTCCGTGCAGAACAGACGTACAACCCCTTTGACGGGATCAAGCAGAACTCTAGGGAGAACACTGTGCCATCTCCTTTAACGGATGCACCAGGGATACTAGCACTTACTGTAGGCTCCCGCTCTCCTACTCCAAATATTCTGACTCCCGTTATTCCTGACAAGTTGGAGCTCAGAGCCATTAAGGCCGACCACAGAAATCATGTCTTCAGCTTGTGGCTTAATCACGGAACTATCACCAGAGTCATCTCCACCGTGTACAGCTCTGAGGGAACTGAGGTGTCCAACCTCTGGAGAGTGACGGATTACAGCAAAGATGGAAACATTGTCATGTCGGTCCTCTGTCGGTTCATCAAAAAGTATGCACAGTATGCAGAGACTGTCAGACAGGGGAAGAGGAAACGTACAGAGGAGAGCAGCAGCCAGTCACCACCAAAGAAATGTTTAAGACTGTGATGGTCCTTTGCTGTGCTGCAGCTTTTGGTCCTCTGTGGATTCAGGATCTGGCAGGTTAACCAGCTGGATTACTGTGACCCCTGAGAACTGGTCTTTGCGTCTGGCAGGGATAGCGACAGCCCCTGGTAGCGTCTTGCACCGGGGGCCCATATAGACATACTGCCCCATATGAAGAGCAGGGTTGACTGAGGGGTTATTGTACATTTGTAAATAGTTTCTTTCACCATGGTTGTGGCACACAGGTCAGTGTTTTTGGTGCGTCTTGCACTTTTCTTTATTTCTTGGTGCTGGCCTGTGTGTCTGACATGGTGGCAACTGTGAGAGAGCTATGAGGATCTCTAGAGATAGGAGCTCTCTTTATCCAGGGTTTACCCCACCCACATTATATAATGAATATGACTCATCACTACCATCGCAAGCTTCAGATGTCACAACACTGCTGATCCACCAAAGGCAGGCAGGTCGACAAGGGAGAACAGGCTAGAACAGCCAGATAGAGGCCAGTGAAGATATCAATCCATTCTGGGCCTCTCTCCCGGTTAACCAGACCAGCCAGCGGTGGACAGAGAGGAAAACACTTGGGTGTTGTGAAGAATGCTGTGATTTTATTTTAAAGGAAGGCTGAAACGTCACCAAGAGTGAACAAACAGGTCATTTGTTCTTTACAATCAATCTAAATGTGTTTCTGGTGTAGTAGCTCTTATTAAATCCTACAGTATGGAGCAATAATAAACTAGAGTTAATGTTACTGTTAATGTCAGCCAGTGAAAACATGTGACAGTAGCTGTAATGTAATCCAGTAACCAGAAAACATCAAAGATAAAAACAAAGGTACTGACTGTTATCATTCCCTGTCTGCTTTTAGCCTTCAAGAGAAAGGAGAGGAGAGGAGAGGGGAGGGGAAGAGAGCAGAGGAGACAACATTCATGACCAACTCTCCCATTAAAATCTATTTAAAATAATATTTTAGTTTACTATATTTATTTTATCTTATCAGAATTTCAGACTGATCAATATTTCTACTATTTATCTTATTGTTATTAGCTGTTGTTCACACTTCTCTGCAGTTTGTCTTTCAGAAAGAGAGTCTGGATGAGACGAGGAACGGAGACATCTTTCAGAGAGAAGAGAGGAAACGACATGAAGAGGAAACAAGAACAACACCAGACGAGACAAAGAGAGGACAAATCATACGTTGTTTCTTTCTATACTGATCAATAATTCTTATTTTGATGAAGTTATTATCTGTCATTTGTCCTTCAGGAAGAGAAGAGGAGTCCAGAAAAAGGAGATGGCATACAATACATTAGAACCTTCTCCTAAAAAAGGAGGAATACATTTTTTTTTTTTTTTTTTTTTTTTTTTTTTTCCCCCTCTACAGATGGACAGTTCTTCTGAATGCTGATGTTGTTTTATGAAAAATTAACCACGGACATCGTCTTTTAAGACAGAAGAGGAAAAAAGAAAGGATAAAAGACAGATGAGACAAGAGGGAGGAGACAGGACAGCAAGCACTGTGAACCCTCTTCTCTAAAAAGGTAAATATACATTCATTATATGTTTTATGAGGATTTCTTTACTAATTGATAGTTGACACAACTTTGACATTTGTCCTTCAGGAAGAGGAGTCTAGAGGAGACGGGAAGAGGAGACAGCGAGCACTGTGAACCCTCTCATTTAAAAGGATAAATATACATTTATTTCATGTTATTATCAGAACTCATATATTGATGAACACTCCGTTTGTTGGGCAATTAAGTCTTATTGCACCTTTTCTGCCTTCATCCATTTCCAGTGTGGACGAGCGGCCCCAGATGTCCCCTTCATCAGCTCCAGCAGGACCATCAAAGACAGTTTACTGTCCTGAAGATGAGCAGCCTTACAGCTACATTTGTCATGTTTGATAGTTACATTGTAGCATGGTTTGTCTTTCTCAAGGACTCTAATAAACTAATATTCACAGGACAAGTTACAGTGTGTGTGTCTGCATTAATAGACATGGAAGAAACTGATTTTTTTCTGCTTCTATCTTTATTTAAATTACTGATTATTTTAATAATAAATTATCATTCTTTAATAATAATATTTTTCTTCTTTTGACCACAAGGAAACTGCTCCAATGAAAAATTTCATGTCAGAAGTGGGATTCGAACCCACGCCTCCAGAGGAGACTGCGACCTGAACGCAGCGCCTTAGACCGCTCGGCCATCCTGACTGATAGGACATGACGTCATAGCCCCTAAGTTTTGTTTCATTGTTTTACCATGGTAGATAATGTTCTTAAGGGGACATTTTTCAAAAGTGGTTTGTATTAGAGTTGACACGATATGCCAGTATTAATGCTATGGTAAAAGCATACGTCATGACGTTGTCCCACCACTGTGTGGCAGAAGTGGTACGTGGTTCCACCAGCGTAATGAGCACTGTGACTCTGTTTACCGTACACACACATCTTTTCTTCGCCAATATCACGTTAAAGGCAAAGCTGTCAGGGGGATTCAAAGAGCTCCTCCAAGAGAGATTGCAACCTGAATGCAGACCCCCCTGCAGATTATGCTTGCTTCACATCATTTAATCAAAAAAGCTCCCATAACCTTAAAATAAGATCAATCAATATAATAGAAAATATAATATACACACTATATGCAGTATGCAGTAGCCAGAATGGTGTATAACTAAAACTAAACCGTATGTAAGGTAGTAGCCTAAATACTCCACAGGGTGACACTGTTGCGCCCTCTATTCTTCTGTGAATACAGCAAAGGTTGAAGTTTGTCCCTTACGTGACACCGTAGTTGGGTTATTCATGCTGTGCGGGACGCCGTCTTGGTTAAATGTTTTCATGCATTTACTGTAAGGTAAGCAGTGTTAGTGGCGGCCTGCATCCTTCTAAAATATCTCAACTAAAATCACCCATCCGGTCACTATGTTCATCTGATGTGTTCATTTATATGTTAGTTTACATTTCGGTGTGGGTAATTTCCACTTCCTGTAATTTATCATTTCCAGTTGTAGAGTGTTATTTTGACACCATATGTTTGTTTATTTGCACTAGAATATAGTTTTTAAGAAAAAATTATAAAAAATGTTTTCATTCATTGTCCTGTAAGGGTGACGGAGCCAGCAGCCAGTGTAGAGGACCAGAGGTGAAAGCTCTCAATGTGTGCCAATAAAGTGTCTCCAGGTCTCAGCCACAATCCAGAACTCCTGTCTCCAGTGCTTCTCTTCCCTCCCCGCGCATACACCCTATCACAACCATGAACACAACGCAGAGTCTCTGGGTGTGTAGGGAGGCTTCAGCACGTCCAGTGGGTTACATGTACATTGGTAGACATAGTCTGATTTGTATGAAACCAAATTGTTGGGGCTGCTGTTTTCAATACTTAACCAATCAGTAGAGTTACTAGATCATATCATAATTTGAAGACACCCTTCTTTATTAGTAGGCCTAGAAGGAATCGGTGTGGACAGTGTGGACGAGCGGCCCCAGATGTCCCCTTCATCAGCTCCAGCAGGACCATCAAAGACAGTTTACTGTCCTGAAGATGAGCAGCCTTACAGCTACATTTGTCATGTTTGATAGTTACATTGTAGCATGGTTTGTCTTTCTCAAGGACTCTAATAAACTAATATTCACAGGACAAGTTACAGTGTGTGTTTGCATTAATAGACATATGGAGAAACCAACCAGGGTATTTAATATGATCTGTTCTGTAAAACCAGTCATCAGAACGTCCACAGTGACTGCATGTTACAAGTACAAAAGTTAGCAGTAAGCTAAAGTAGAATGGTCATTTTTATAACAGTATGAAATGGGGGAACTTTAGTATGAATATGAATCTCTATTTGCATCAGTGCAATATAACTGGATGATGAAGTGTGTATGAACAGTAGAAGTCTTGCATAATAAAGGTTTTTATTCTTACAGAATTCACTATTATGTTCCAGGGAAATCTGCCTGTCTCTGTATTTTAAAAGTTTTTATACTTAATCTCTTCAAAGAATAATAAAAGCCCAGAGTCACATACTCTTGGCTCCAGAGCCAAATGCAGTTGTAGTCCGCTCCATGCCACATACACAGAAAATGTATAAACAGATATTAAAATAATAACAATACTAATTAATATTATTATTATTATTATTATTAATAATAATTAATGCCTTAAAACAAATTATATACAAGGAGCACTAAAGGAAGAAATAAAAGGAAAAATGCATTTGATTTACAAGGAATATGTACAGTTACATAGAATACATACTGTATTGTAGATTGAAAGTTTGTTATAATGGGAACTATTACATTATAATGTGAAGATAGATTTTTAATCAAGATATACATTTCAAAATATTTTGAGAATAAGGGCATGGTGAAAACATGAACCCAAGCTACACAGGACCTTCACTCTGCTAAACAGCCTTGTCCTGAATTAGAAAAGTGAAAACAACCAATGAGCTAATAGAACAATAACAGGTATTATTGTTCAAATAAAGAAAACATTATACAGAGAATTGTGTAAAAAGTTCCCAAAAATTCATCTAAATTGCTTGTTTCATTAAATAATGAATAAATAATTTAAATTAATGAAAATCATACATAAATAAGAAAGGAAATCACAAACGTTATGCAGTAGTAATATAGTAATAATAGTAAGTTGAATTAAAAAGAAGACAACTAGAAGTAAGTGCTGTTACTTTAAAGAAAATAATTTAAAGTAAAAATAGTTAATAAGTAAACCCTACATTTTCAAGAGGGTGGAGGAAGAATAAGGAACAATTTTATATGATAGACTTAATTAAATTAAAGAACATTCAGCAGCCTCTGCATACAACTGATTATCAATTATACAACTGCCCTTCTTAGTGTAGCCTTACTCAAATGAACCAGAAACGAGGACACAACTAAATTAAAAAATAATGACCAAACAAGAGCTGCAGACACTGCAGTAAAGGGAAACAATCATTATTAGGCTACAGAAATTAAATAAGCTGGCACTTTAGCAGAACAAAACATCACCAAGGCAGACAACACGGATATTTAGAAAAAATAAAAACTGCCACAAACACACATATTAAAGCTAAATATGTGAGCACAGGTTTCCGTCCCACTATAACCAGTCCCCTCAGTCTGTCTGTCCCACTATAACCAGTCCCCTCAGTCTGTCTGTCCCACTATAACCAGTCCCCTCAGTCTGTCTGTCCCACTATAACCAGTGCCCTCAGTCTCTCTGTCCCACTATAACCAGTCCCCTCAGTCTGTCTGTCCCACTGAACCAGTCCCCTCAGTCTCTTGTCCACTATAACCATTCCCCTCAGTCTCTGTCCCACTATAACCAGTCCCCTCAGTCTCTGCCACTATAACCAGTCCCCTCAGTCTCTCTGTCCCACTATAACCAGTGCCCTCAGTCTCTCCGTCCCACTATAACCAGTCCCCCAACCCTCTCTCCCCACTATAACCAGTCAGCCATTTCTTCAATGAACGTGAATGCTGACGAGGATCCAATCATGAGCATTTCACCATTTAGCCAGACCCAGTGTGCACCTGTTGGTCACGCATCATCTTGGGTGCATTGGATTTAGACCACTTAGCGTGCCCACCGGGTGGTGCATTAAACCAGTAATTAACTCAGGAACCCTTTACTGCCTATGCCAAAGAATAATAATCCCTGACCTTAACCCATCATTATGTCATTTTCCATTTTATTGCATTGTCGTACTTTTCACAAACGGCTAGACTCAGCCAGTGAACCTAACCCTCTGAGACTGGTGATGTAGGAAGTTGGGATGTCAACTCACCTGGTACTTTCTTCTACACACCACAGTGGATACAACAAACACACAGACACACACACAAGTTCTTGCACACTCTCTCTCAGTCATACACTTCAAAAGCTCGTCTCTCTGGGTGTGAAATGACTTCTCTCCTGGCCGACTTCACATTGTGTAGTAATTGCACACCTTCATCTTTTTCTTTTTCCCCCTGTTACTGCTTGCCATTTTCCGTCAGTCTGCTCGTATGTCTTCCTTAAATGGCTAATCAACATGAAATTGCTGTAAACTGCAGAGGATCTGCTCTGTAAAATGCTTCATTGACCAACTGTCCTTTAACATGTACCGTCACTATTATATTTATAAAGTGTTGTTACGAATTGGGTTTCATTTTCTTGTATAGCATTTAGAATTTTCAAAAATTGTTACATTGGTTTCATTCACCTGCAATCTGAATGAGTAAATATGTAAATGACTGAAATATGCAGTTTAAGAAGGAGTTCATGTTTTTCAATGTAATTAAACCTTTTTATGGATATGGTGTTGTTTTCGTCGTACAGTATATTTAATCCTCACACAGCCAACTCTGTAATAATACAACTGTTAACATGAGAACCTTTCCCATCTCTACCACCCATCCCATATGATGTGAAGGTGGCATATGTGTAAAGAGTGTCAAAGGTATTTCTGGCTCTTGGAAGAAATAAAACCAAGAAAGTAACATTTGACAGCTTCTTTCCACGTTTACTGTCAGATAAAAGCTTAGGTTTGGCTTCTTGTTTTGTTTCATCCCTGCAAATCACAAATTCGTTCCTACAATATTGTCAACAAGACTAAAAGTCTACAGCCATGCTGCACGTGAGGCTGTAGTAGGCACACTGGTGCTTGAACTAATGCAACATACATGCTATCATTGGCAATGCTAACATGCTGATGTTTAGCAGTTATAATGTTGACCCTATTCCACTAACAGAAAATCCTAATAGTTATACAGTTATTTAGTCATAAACTGCACATCCCTACAGGGCTATAAATGTCTGCACCAAATGTCTATCCATCCAGTAGTTTTTGGTGGACCGATCAATAGACAGACAATGCCATACTGTAAACCTTCAGTTTGAACTGTCGTTTCCATATTAACGTTGTTTAGTTTTTATTTTCAAAAACTTTATTTTACTTTGACTTGTTTTATTTTTGTCAGAGTTACCTTATTATCAATTTCAAGTTCATTTGCCCATCCTCGTCATACTGATTTATCTAACTCTCCACATCACAACAGAGAGTGTATGTGCACATGAACAATTCTGTAGGTACCATCAGAGGAGTGGAGAAATCTTGTGGAGAGATGGGTTGTGATGGACTGTGGGTGTTGCATATGAAATATTTATCTGACTTTGTCTCTAAAGATTCCTGCGAGTTAAGTATCAATTTAAGGCCCTTAGGAACTGGATCTATCCAGCTGTTTCTGACCGACTGTCACCAGACAAAGACGAAAAAAAAATGGAAACAAACGAAAGAAGTAGTTCAGCTCGATAGAAATGTATTGAACCATCTACAATCACAAGAAAAGACTGTGTGTGTTAGGTAAGGGAGGAGGGGGTAGGGTAAAGGGGGAGAGGGGGTAGGGTTAGGGGGTAGAGGGGGTAGGGTAAGGGGGGAGAGGGGTAAAGGATAGGGAAGGGGAAAGGGGAAGAGGGATGGGGAAAGGGGAAGAGGGATGGGGAAAGGGGAAGAGGGATGGGGTAGGAAAGGGGGAGAGGGTAAGGTAGGGAGGGAGTAGAAGGTGGGGGGGTTCAGTAGAAAGCATCTCCTGCTGGTGTCAGACTGGAGTTAAACCAGCAGTTTCTTCCTCTGTACTGGTGCCTGTCAGTCTGCACCCATCGTCTGCTTGTTACTCCACCTCTTTTTTGACTCTTTTTATCATTCATGTCTTTCTCTTCACTCCTTTTCATCTCCGTCTTTCTCCTTTCTTTCCATTTTGCTTTGTTTTTCTTCTTTCCTTTTTCCTTTCCATCCTTTCTTTCCCATATTGCTTGGCTTTTTCTTTCTGTTCCTTTTCCATCCTTTCTTTCCCATATTGCTTTGTTTTTTCTTTCTTTTCCTTTTCCATCCTTTCTTTCCCACACTTGCTTTTTCTTTCTGCCCCACCTTTCTTTCCCATATTGCTTTGCTTTTCCCCCTTTCTTTCCCATTGTTCTTTCTTTCCTTTTCCATCATTTCTTTCTCTTTCTTGCTCTCATTCTTGTTCTCATTCTCATCCTGTTCCTCCTCTTTCACTGTGTCCTCTTCCTGCTCCTTCTTCACTTTTTTCACCCACTGCTTCTGCTTCTGCTTCTTTTTGTTCAAAGTGAGATTCTGAAAAGACAAAAACAGTATTTATTCTTTTTTCTGAATCAATCTAAAACCAGCTTTAACAATCAAAGTCACCATTCTGAAGAAATATTATGAGATGAGGCAGCGAACCTGAAGCTGGTTGGTCTTAGAGATGAGGCTCGCCTCCAGAACGTCACATGTTCTCCTCCACTCCTCTTCACTCGTCTTCAGCTCTTTCTCTTTCTGAGTCAGCAGGACCAAGGTGTCCACATGGGCTCTGGTTCTGGCCCGCCTTTTCTTGATTTCTCTTTTGAGGAGGTCATCTTTTTGTTTCAGCTCCTCTTGGAGCTGGCTCACCTCCACCTGCCTGCTTTCCATCAGGCCAGCCTGCTCTTTCAGGGCTTTATTTTCGACTTCAAGACCCTTTATCTGAGTGATAGCAGAGAACAAGGCCTCTCTGAGTCCCTGCACGATGGAGTCAGGGTGCTGCTGGGAAGAGACTGCACCAACATGCGCTGGGCCAAATGACTGAAAGACAGAAACATGCGTGTTACACAGAGTAAAG